CTCGGCAAACGGTTTCAATGGCCTTCACAAAAAAAAGATAAACACGATTTAGCTAGTAATTGTATCTTTGATGGAATTTGCTTATGTAATAATAAATGATGATATTCTATTTTCTCCTTCTTGACAGAGTCTCGAAGAATTCTATAAAAACGGATTACTGTCGGATGTTATGGACATTTTGTGTCCAACATCTTTTTATATGCTTTGTTTCCGAGATTTTCATGGCCATATTGACTCAAACTACATCAAACTCTAGCTTATCAAATATGTCTGAGTTGTTCTGTGTAAGACAGCCCATTCTCCAAAATTCATGGGGAGGAAGCATTTCATACCTAGTTGAATTTGAAGTGCTGTGTAGTCTTAATCGTTATCTATTTCGATAGTTTCAAATGGGTTGTCCTAGTAAGAATTTTCTTTATGAATATCATTCATGTGACGAAGGCAACCAAAACAATTTCTACATTCAGTTACGAGTAGAAACAGAATGAGCAAGTATCGCATGCTTCAAGTTGTTGAAAGATGTGGGCTTCGATAGTAAGTCGGCACTTTTTGAGTTGGTCGCGATCCGAATATTTTTTACTATTGGAAGGTCCTTTTCTTGAAAGTAGCTGCGATTATTTAGAAAGCCAAAAGTGTAAGGACTTTCTTGTTTCCCACCGAGTAACAACTGCCACTCTTCTCACTGTGTGGTATATTGAACAGTAGCTGCCTTTTTTCTCGATACTATACTGTTCTGACTAGCTAGATGTCGATTAAAACATTGAATAAGCTTGAAAACTGAGACGATTCTCAGTCTATATAATATTTTTCGCATTACGCCCCTAGCGGCCGTTGTCTATGGTCGACAAGAGCCTGGCACTGATCGTGGTGCTCGGAACCGTCTTCTAGGGTTTGCAGTCAGCCTGTTTCATACAGATGTACTGGCTATCAGGTTAGCCATTCTTTAATGCTTCACAATTAGAAATAGTTTTATTTCCACTTGTCTTTTTCTACTTTTGCGTCGGACAGGAAGGATACGATTGACGTAAACGGTCATATACGGCGTCGCAGACGACCCTATAACGTCGTATGTTAATCATATTCACAAAAGTTCCTAATTAGTGAGAAATATTTCGCGAACTCTGATTATTTGTACATTAAATTTTCCTAGAAGAAAATTTGTTCATTGAGGGTGTGAATGAGGGTGTGGATGTGGTTGTTATTAAATAGTACAATTGCATCCACACCGACACGCACACCCGCACCCACACCAAAAATTCTAATCAACACTTTTATTACAACAGATGAATCCATCTTTGGGTGTGAGTTGAAAGAAGGATTACACGTACACGCACACGCACATCCACACACCCACACCCACACCCACACCCACATCATTTTAGTCTCATCTGTCGATCATAATTAGATACCTAGGAGACAAGAATAATTCCAAAAACATCCATTCCTTCGTACTTATATTCCCAGGATATCAGTTTTGCTCATGAAGCAAAAGATTTTCAGGATGTGTGTGGGTGTGGAGTGTGTGAGTGTGTGGGTGTGGTGTGGGTGTGGGTGTATATCTTTAATTCTTTCATACGCACACCCACTCCCCACACACTCACACCCACACCCACCCTTTTCATGTGCGTATATAAACGTTTGTTTTCTCAAAGAATAAAGAGAGAGAGAAGGAAGCACATCTTAACTGTGTTCGTCGCTCTTCGTGAGCGCGAACTGTAAGAGCATCCTTTAATAACAGATCGTAGATTGATTATGATAAGTAAATTTGTCATTAATAAGTAATAATTAATGGCGATACTTCCCAAATGTTTCCCACCATTTGCGCTTATATTGGATACAAAAGAGGATCTTGGTAAAATTAACAAACATCTAAATGGGTGCGTTCTCATGGACCTATGTAGCCTAGTTGTGATCGTTTTACTGAATTTGAATAATGAGCATAATGTATCCATTTTTAATCTTAATAGCTTATATGATCATCTGCAAAATCGTTTATGCGAACAAACTTTTCACTATGTAATCGATACTTTATTATTGTTATAATAACAAGTATCAAAGATATTTTATTAATAGATTTTATTTAAAGCTTTTAAAGGACGACTTTTAAAAACTAGCTCCACTTATCATCTATATTCAGTATTCGATAAAAACACAATAATTGTTGTTCTTTATTAGTTCAGACTTTTATTCGTTGATGACTCGATCATTGTTTATACGACCTCTTTTGTCTTGCTTGTTGTTGTTATTCTCCTTTCATCACATCGTTATACCTTAGATCAACTGATACATATTATCATTATTTACAGAATGTGTAACAAATCAGATTATTGATTAAAAATACAAAAAGGGTGAATGAAGATATGGGTAAAACGCTTGTGGAACTGAGCACTTTTATTAAACTTTGATGTCAATATTTTTTTGGGTACAAACACGTCTGATATAAAAACCGCATCTAAATGCGTTTCATATAAAATAGCATCTGGATATAGATGTGAAGCTACCACAACACAATCCGTCACCACGATCGTGAGGGCGATTCTATTGATAGTCTAGTAGGAACTAATCAAAAACCACGATAGAAGGCTCATATAGACGGCAACAGCAACACACGAGGATTTGGGTGTTGATATGGATGTGAGTGTAGGACGTGGATGTGGATATATGGTACAAGAGAATTTCAACACCCACACCCCAACTTAATGGTGAAGCGCAATTTTGTGCTAACATACTGACATACGAAATTTATTATATAAAGATAAGACTAGCCATAGTTTTTGTGGTATAGAATTACTTATCTTTGTTACTCATGTGAGAGAATGATGAAACGAATATAAAATAGTTTCAAACAATAACTTGTTCTTTTTTAAGTTTAAGTTTTTTGAGGAACATAATATGCATCATAACCAAGCTTACACAGAGTTGAACACTAAAAATATTGGCTCACATCAATGGTGGCATCATCGTCGTGCTAAGATTATTTTCATCTTTTTTATCGTTTTAATAATATTTGCAGTCACCCTCTCTCTGTTGTTAAAATTCGTCGTTTTTGCACCGAACAAGTCAAAAACATCACCGCCAACAACAATAGAATCAACATCAACGTCATCGGCATCATCATCAACGATAACTACGACTACAACTCAGCCGTCCAGTAAGCCTTAGAGTAACGCTCCTTAACTTCGCTAAATGCCACTTTGAAATCAGATAGATCCAAGAGAAACCTACTAAATTATTGCTAGAAATCAGATGATGAAATTACATTCGGATCCCTAATGTCGGAAACTGAACGGACTTTATCATCAATATTTTATTAGATTTTAGTATAACGATTCGATGGGATCCTGCAGTAATAATTATGCCGTTAGAACGTGATAGAGCACTATGAGCACTGACGATAGCTTAAAAAAAGACTATGCGATTACTTAACTTGGTAAGATCAAACAGTCCTACCGTCGTAGCTTGTCAACTACTACTGTTGAATTTCATGAATGTTTTAGGTCGATGATTTCTGCCTCCCAATTCGAAGGATCCTTCCGAGAACGACGTATTTTCTGGCATAGTTCCGGCTATTTTCTGCAAGAAGATCAGTGAAAGCGGTCAGAATTGCGTCAAAAAATGCACTTTCCGGTACGTTTCTAAAACCAATATCATTTTCTTATGCATCTAAGCACCTATTCAGGTGCACAGCGAACTAATTTATTTCTTACAGTATCCATCGTAAGACACAGAATGATCACTGTAGATTTTTAGAATACTAAAACGCTAGTTTCGTAACAGCTATAAGAGTTCTTTACGACGCTTTTTGATCGAACTGCATCAAATTTACGAAAGACCCAAAACAGGATTTTTCAAATCATTCCCCTCTCCTCACTGGTCACCAGAGTGACGTCTGATCGATCTGTCCATACTAATGACATATCGTAGATATTAATGTCTTATTTTGGTGGTTGTTTCATCAATGACTCTTCTAGAACCGCTATGAGAGGGAGAGGGCACAGTGAGCAGAAAGCGAAACTAGACAACAACAAAATGACCAGTATTTTCGATGAAACTTTTATGAGCAAAGCATTTTTAATAGGAAATAAATATTCATTTTGTGAAACGCCTTCAATGCGTTATCATATTAGATAATAGTCAACTTTTTTTTTTGCATGGCATGCTACTGAGAAAACCAGAGCTCAAGCGAAAACTTCTTCTCACCTGGCTGTCCGCCGTGGGAAGGATAACAAGTTATACTTAATCCGTAGTCGACTAAAGTCATGTAGTTTTAATCTATTGCAAAAATATTTACACCGATATTTCTTAGAATTGTTGGTTAAAGATTAATGATATCATACGAATGAAAAGGACATATGATAGGTTCATATTTTGCTATCAAATCGATCAGAGGATCTGGCAATTAAAAATGAAGAATATTATTCGTATAATTTAGTCGTGATAAAGTTACCGTCTCTCTTGGTCTACAACGGGATCGAAAGGGATAACTATACCCTGGTCATCATCCTGACTACCAAATTGGCGCAAAAACAAGCCAGAAACAGAGACGAAAACAGAGTTTGGTTCTGACTGCGAAAGTTCGTCCGAAATTTTGAGGGTTCGACCGTTTTCTATGATATCTTCTTCAGCTGGGAAGTTTTATTACGATGGTTATAATTAATAGAAGCTACATATAATTGGAATATATGAATTCTTGTAAATAATGTGACGAAAGATAGGAAATACAAATCTAATTTAAGTGCCAGTGGTGCATACGATCTTTATCTAAAATATAAAACTTACTATCATACCATACCGTGAACGATTTCTCATAACAAATTTAGGACTTTTAGCAGTTTCCAGAAATGCAAAAAAATTCTTTTAAAATAAGGAATCATTTTCATTTCACAAAATCGAAAAAATTTCGCATAGAATTAAGCGATTCCGAGTGTTCATTAATACATATTCTATTCAAAACGAATAGATCCAAACATTTTTGTCTAGGATGGTCTTATACTGGTAGCATGAATTATGAACGAGAAGATCACACAGCATGCGTATTAACAAATGAAAAAGTGCTAGTTGCCGGTGGACGGAACGATGCTGGTCCTCTGAATACTGTTGAGCTGTATGATCCATCAACAGGATTTTGGACAATGACTAGTAGCATGAATATTGCACGATCAGAACACACAGCCTCTGTATTAACAAATGGAAAGGTGTTCGTTACTGGTGGAGAAAGTGATTTTGATATTCTAAATAGGACTGAGCTATATGATCCATCAACGGCAACTTGGACAATGACTAGTAGCATGAATACTGCACGAAAAGAACACACAGCCTCCGTATTAACAAATGGAAAGATATTAGTTACTGGTGGATATAACGGTACAGATTATATAAAGAGTGTTGAGTTGTACGATCCATTAACAGACACTTGGAAAGATACTAGTGACATGAATTATTCAAGAGCAGGATACACTCAATCTGTATTAACCAATGGAAAAGTTTTAGTTGCTGGTGGACTAGCTGATAGTTATCTAAATAGTGCTGAATTATATGATCCATCAACTGAAACTTGGACAATTAAGCACAACATGACTAATGTACGATGGACTCATACAGCATCTGTATTAACAAATGGAAAAGTATTAGTTGCTGGTGGACTAGTTGATGATTACGTATATAATGCAGAGCTGTATGATCCATCAACAGAAACTTGGACAACTACTGGTAGCATGAATATTAGTCGACTAGATCACACAGCATCCATATTAACAAATGGGAAAGTGTTAGTTGCTGGTGGGTTTAGTGGTAATTATCTAACTGCTAATACTGAGTTGTATGATCCATCAACAGGAACTTGGATAACTACTGGTAAGATGAATATTGAACGATTTAGTCATACAGCATCCGTATTGACAAATGGAAAAGTGTTAGTTGCTGGTGGAAATAATGGTGGAATTTTGAATAGTACAGAACTGTATGAATCATTTCAAATAAACTAACATCATAAATGTCGTTTGACTTTTGATACGATCAATCTCGTCTCTACGTATTAGATTTAAAGCACAACTATTTTATTTTAATAATGGCAAGTTACTATTTCTGTATAAACATATGCTTAGATGATGTATCTCTTAGAATTTACTTACAGGAGAAAACTGTGAGTTGTACTGTTGAAGGAAGTTTCAATGGCTATGAACAGTTTGGTCTTGGTGAATGCTCTGATTAGATTCTTAGTTTGTCGAGAATTCGATTGTCATTTTAAAACGTAACGGTGAAACTTTCTCCGAGTGGGTAAATTATCAGATACAAATATACACTGCATGGTAGTATAAGAATATCAAAATACTAGTGTTACAGATATTATCAACTACACCAAATGACCTTTCTAGACGATTGGATAGAGTTGTGGGTGAGTCTAACATGCCATGATCCAGATTTTAATCTTGCTTAAGGGTCTTCATCAGATGGCTTTAACTGTGCTATAGTCATTCAATGATTTCAAAATGAAAATCATATATGTTATCGACGGTGCCATCATTCGATTTCTGAGCATCACGAGTGAATAGGACGAATACTTTGGTACAACAGGTTCCCACACGGACTGATTCATTAGCCTATCGAAACAGCAATAATGTGACTATGTTCCCTTGGACAGCATATACATAGGACACTAGAAACGTCTTTTTCGTCCGGCTCTTTTAAAAGCCTCAGTTTGCATTCAAGTATTCTGTGATAATGCTTAGGCATATTTAGGAATATGCGCAAAATTTCAGACTCCTAAGTCTTGTACTTTGCCGTAATCTATCTTTTCTTTTACGTGAGTAATATGCCATTTTCTATATGCTACATAACGGATGGCTTATAATAAATGACAGAACTTTGAATTTCATATTTTAATCCTTAAAAACACTTTATAAAAAAAGAAAACAAAATATACCAAAAGACACAGCGTGAAAAGCTTTACAATCGACAATATAAAGCTCATGGTGATTATGTGCTTTTTCTTTCAAAATAGACAGTAGTCTGAGTGACCAATTCTCGACGCTGCGATAGATAATTCAGAGAATTTTGCTTTTTTCTTTTAAAATGAAAAGGATACTATTTAAATAAAACTGTTCTTTGTACATTGTAGAGTTTTCACGCTGCATCTTGTGGTATGTTGTGTTTTTTGTTTAAGACCACTCTGTCCCCTGCGCCCTGCTGCCGCCGCCCCTGCCACCCTCGCGTTACCTTA